TATTCACTCAAGTGAGAGTATCCCAACATCCCCATTCCATTTCTTTTCTAGCCCCGGTAGATCCATGAAGCCTGTCCAGCGGGGGAGGGGCATTGGGACTTGGCAACCATGTCCGCTTCGGTGGATCCAAGAAACACCCAACTGGTGCACCAGATTGCACGGAGGATTGGACTGGGGATGCACGTGAGAACAACAACAAGTCCCTCACTCGCCCAAAGCGAATCGACCTTTTGAGACCTTTCTCGGGTCCATTTTGGTCCACAAGAGGCGAGCCTTTTTTTCGAGGTCCTTTGAGCAAGTGAGGTCATGATAGGAGCAGAATGTGAGTAACTGGTTTGCCCCTGCTATGCTATGAATCTTAAAGGGAAGTTCGTTAGATTAGGTCCAGCTCGAGCACGTCCACCAGCAGTTCGAGCAGCAGCACGACGAGCAGCAGCACCACCTCGTCCTCGCCACTCGGCCGCAAATGCCCCCCGCCCCCCCTCCCCCCCTGTCCCGTTTCACGTTGGTTCAAAGGGAACCATAAGGAAGCTGTCATTTTTGGGGCGCCCCTATTTTTGCCTTACCCATATGGTGAGAACCCATTTTTGCCGGAGTGTTTTCCCCGAGAGGGGGATGCCTATGTCAATGTGATGTTGGAGGCTTTCAATTGAAGACCCCGAGAGGCAGACGGGTGTTTCAACAAAATGGGAAAGCACCAAAAATGTGTGCTTTCCCAAGCACCAAAAATGTGTGCTTTCCCTCTGGTTTCCCTTCAACCTCCAAAAAGGGGAAGGGGGGGGGGTACAAAAACATGGACCCATACGCCATGGTCAAGGACAGGATGGTCATCAACCTGGCACATACGACTGTTAGTGCTCAAAGCCGCTTACCAGCGGCGTGCCAAAACCTTTTCTTACATGTTTAAACTTCTCGGTGTGTGCTTTTCAGCGCAATCACCCTTTCAGGTTGATTTACTCAACCGAGACGCCACGATTCAGAGTTTCCCCCTGTATATTTGGCGCACAGCCCACAACACACTCATTTGACGGAAGCCTCAAGCCTAGATTGCGTCCGAATCGCCTGAGGACCTCCACGACCAGTACGACTAATACGACCACCACCACCTCCTCCACCTCCAGCGACCTGGCCAACCGGGGTGAGTGAAGTTGAAGCCGGCGAGTTGCGGGATCTCTGAACTGAAAAAGGCGTCTTTTGCACAAGGCACGAACTGTGGACCAGCATCAAGCATCTAGGTTTTGGTCGGGCGAACATTGAAGGTTGAGGAATAGATGTCGTTTTCCCTGCCGTTTGATCCGGTTCTCCAGCCAGAAAAAGTCGCCATGGTGCAGTAGGTTTTAACCCACATGGATTCGATTCCATATTTTTGTGGATCTGGGCTTGTTCTGAAAGAGGAATCCTCCACATGGATGGCTTCCCATTGCTTTGCTGCACACTTCGCCCGTGCCTGAAGTTGCCCCCTGATTTTAAGGACCGGGGGAAGGCTGGGGAATGGGTCCCGACTTTTTTCAGGGATCCTCTGCGCATGAGTTCTGTCGGAACTCTCTCTGGAAGGAATCTATGGGTTGGGTCCTGGATTGGTTTCAATGGAGGTTCGAAACGTGCTCCGGATACGTTTCGTGGTGACGCATGTTCTCGGGATTTCGGTTTCTGACCTCCAGTCAAAGTGCGTTGGATTTTGAAGGAGTCAATCCGTATTTTGGAAGCGGGCAAAATGAAAAGCACTCCTCCCTCAGAGAGGGGCCAACAACTAAATGTGAAATATAGCAGGCCAGGTTTTATGTTCCGTTTCAGGGCCCTTTGGCATTGTCATGGTGCTTTAGGTTATATGGCTGTGGGTCAAAACCGGTGTCAGAAACTGGGGCTTATCAAAGCCAGAAACTGGGTGGTTTCCCTTGAACCCACTTCTGGGGGGACTTTGATGGTGACTAGCATGGGGCTAGTCTCTTTGAAGTCTTCTCGGTGAGAATCAGCTTTTGAGTCCAAGAAGCTGCCCCAAGACCCTGCACTTTGGGGCTTCGGCTTTTCTTTGTCCAAGACCTCCGGTAGGGTGCCCTTGTCATATTTTTTGAGAGAGGTTTCCCTGACACAACTTTCAACAAACATGGTGTTTTGCTGGTTTTTGCAATTTGTTTCTTCTCTGAACCAAAATTTGGTAGGCAAGAGAAGTCTCAGGAGAAACATGGTGTTTATACCTCTTTCCCCGACCCGAAGCTCTTTTTTGGATCCTGTCTCTGGGATGGTCTTCGGGAGAACTGGGCTCGAGATTGATCCATGTCACCGATCTGGGTCTGAAGGGCATTAAACAAATGGGAGTTTCATGGGGCTGACTCCTCACCTTGGGCTGCGAAGTGTCGTTGTTTCTTCTTCTTCTTATTTTTTGTTTTTCTCCGTGCAATGAGGTTGCCAAAGCTGGTTGCCCATTTATCAAATACCCCTGAGTTGGCGGTTTGGATTGGAAAGGTTCTTGTAGAAGGTAAATGGGGTTTCCCACCCCTGGCCACCACCAAACCAGGCGGATTTTCCGGAGAAGCCGAGGCACGACCTCCACGAGCACGTCGGTGTCCACGACCAGCGCCTTGGAGAATGGAGGTGACATATGGCCATGGTTCAAAACCAATGGTACCATTTTGGGATAGGTGCACCACCCATTTTAGAACCTATTTTAGTGGGGATATGAGTTTTGGGGGAGGGTCTCGGTCCGGTAGGACGATGTTCCAAGAGGTTGGCCAGAACTCGAGAAATGCGAGCCAAAGAACCTAAGCACGGCCCTCTTTTTTTGACCATATGCCGGCTTTTGATGAAGGTGGTCAACAGTAGTAGTCAATTGTGAACCCTCAGGGTGGGGTCAAGCTTCTTGACTAGCTTCTGAACCCGCTCAAACATCCGAAGGCTTTCCAATCAGGATGCTCGGTCTGCCTGGGCACTGGGCATGGCCTTTCTTTGCTCCAAATAGATAATTTGTCGGCCATTTCTGTCGATCTTACAACTCTTTCTACCGATTCTTATGGCCCAGTCTTTGCTTTGGTTCTGTGACAGGGTCTAGGTTTTCTCAATTTTCCAGGTTGTCAAAGTCGGAAAGTGGTTTCTTTTTGAAATCCTGAAAGCGACCACTTGGGAGGTGACTCTGATAGTGGTAGAATAGTGGGGCCCGTCGTATCGGTGTTTCGCTTTTGCGCGTTTCCCTGGCTTGGTCAGATGGGACGTCTTCACCTGATGGCATGGTGGGAAGGTTGAGCTGGAGGTTGCCACCATAGGTGTCCGTTCTAGGTTAGTTTGGTTACAAGTAGATGGCACTGGTTTGTATGAATTTTCATTCGACTTGCCAGGGCCATCTATTTTGCGAAAAGGACACCTGTGGTTGCCACTTGTGATACCGAGCAACTTCCAAAGAGAGTTAATCATATCCTCCTTCCAACCATTGTAAATTTGCCCCACGATCCCGGCTCTCAATTACCCGCTTTTGATAACGTCTTCTTGGGGCGGCGTTGTTGCCGCTCCATTTGGCAAGGATCCGTTCTGTACGGGCTCCATTCAGGTGCTTCGCCTTATGTAGCTGGTTGTGTAGCCTGGGAGGGAGATGAATAGACTCTTGTTCCACGTCTTTGTGTAATACTCCGGGAAAATGGCTGTGGCTCAAGGTACCAAAATGGAACCCTGGTAAGTGGAAACATGGACCAAAACCTGCGTAACCCCCCCCTGTTTAATGTTGAGCCACAGCCAAATGAATGGTTTTCCAAGTTTCCGCTCGCGTCGAGCTCAGAGCCGCGCAGGTACCACGAAGACAGTCAGCAGTGCCAGCCTTAGATCCATTCCGCCACAAGATCCTCCGGCCTCCGAATGGGCGGCCGGAACTTGGGGCAAGGTGATTTGAAGGGGGATGTTCAGTCGATCCCAAAAAGGGCACGGGGGGTGGTGGGGATCGCCACTTAGTAGCAACCTGCCCATCCTTCAAAGGAACTGGGGTTACCCCCACGCGGATTTCCAAGCCTCTTGCTGGTTTGGAGCCCGGTGGTTTAGAGGTGGGGACCCAATTTTTTGAAGTAGCCACCAAGGGTTACCTGAGACAGCCGAAGTTGGCTGAACGGTCAGTGACACTAAGGGTTGCCTGAATCAGTGACCAAACTTCAGGCGCCGAGCCCCTCGTCAAGCCCAGGGCTTTTGACCGCGTAAGGGAAACACGAAGCCCTTCTTCCAACTTGAAAATGAAAGCACAAAGGACCCTTCCAATGTTCTTCCCTCACAAACATATTGGGTTCACACCGACCCTGCCCCATCGAAGGACGGATTCCGTGTCCAAGTGCCGACTTTGTCAAGTGGTTCGAGGATGATTGGGTGATTTGTTGATTTTGAACCAGATGTTCGAGTTAATATTTGTTACTTGGTTCGATCGCGAGGAGGATTGGAGTGAGTACCGCCTGGATTTGTCCCCTGGATTCCTCGCGATTCTCGCGAGGTTTGGGGGACGGCAAACACGTACTCCAAGCCCTCCGATCGACACAGACGCAGAACATTCTCGTCAGGCTTCCCTTGGCGTGCCTTGAGTCATTCCCCACTGACCACGTCTTCGAGTGATAGGGGGAGTCAACTTCGGCAGAGTTCAGCAGAATCCTGCAGGCCCTCTGGTCACACTAAGTCTTGTTTAGTTTTGGATTTGCATGGGCTTGGCCCTGTGGATGGACAAGACATCTGGATGAAGCCTATGAATACTGGTTGAGAAACCACCGTGCGGTTCCGATCGGCGTGGATGTTTATCCATAGTTTGGGCGCCCAAGAAGCTCGTGAAGATAGTTGAGTGGGGGCGCCCATTTTCACGGGGACCCTTCCACTTAGTTCTTTTGTTTTGGTGCTTTCACTCAACTGGACGGTTTTTTGGTATTGTTTTGAGCCGTTTCTACAAACAAAGAGGTTTCAGTGCTTGGAATCGAGCCAAGCTGCAGCCTGCCTGCTTTTCTTTTTGTTGAGGCACCACCTCAGTGTCGTCCACCACGACGACCACCATGGCCGGGGACGCAGGGGTCGTTTTTTTAGGCGTCCCTCCAAAAGAACGATGCCTTTGGATTCCAAAAACAAGGAGCCTCAAACGCATATATGTTGTTGATGGTGGAGGTTGTCTTCGAGAAACCTCCACCATCTTTTTTTGTTGTGGGGGGGGGGGGGGGTACCCATTTAACCATTCACATATCCAGCAGTCTATGGTCTCTTTTGGGGAGGGACATTGGGGCAAGTCACCAACTGTCCCACAAAGTCCAGCAGACTCACTAGTTGTTTCATGCCCTTCACATCAACTTCATGTTTCAATTGTTGCTCAGATGACTCTTTAGTGCCCCATTCGAAGAGGCAAAGAAAACTTCCCGCCAAACAAAGGGATGTCAGATTGGCGGATAAACTCGGTTGGGTTTCTTTCCGTGCACACAACCTTCATTTTGACGTTGCTCCGAACCGATGACCAAGCCACAAGGTAGGCGATTGGTATTGGGCCCTCAAGGGTTTTGAACTTTTCAGCGACGTCCGATGGAAACCCGGCCTTGTCCATGTTTTGACTCTTTTTGGTTTCCAGATTTCTTTGACTGTACTGCTTTGCTGTTGTTGGCATGTTTTCACGTTTTGCTTTTTGTTTTTTTTTTCTTCGTCTTGTTTCCCCTTCATGTTTCTTTGGGCTGCGAAACACCGCGGGCTTTCTGCTGCAAGGGCTGGAACATGCTGGAAAGACTGGCAAACACCTGTTTGACCTTTCGTTCCAGGGCCCAGTTTTCTTCTCCGCGTTTTGGTTCGCAGAAAGTCAGGTAACCCTTAGTTGGCGGTTTGGGTTGGTGGGTGGGATTTGGAATTGAACGGATCCCTGGTTCTTGTAGAAGGTCAATGGTTTCCCACTCCTGAACACCACCAAAACCACGGATTTTCAGCTCCAAGCCGCCCAAAGGTTTAAATCCTAAACCCTCAACCCTAAACCCCCTGCACCCTTTTCCCCCCCTAAACCCCAAAAACGTTGGGGGGAGCGGAGCGGGGCGCGCAGCGGTTGGCCTTCGAACGTGGTGGGCACGGCGGATCAGGTGGAGGCGGTGGCGCAGCGCGCCATGCTGGCCATGAGCCGCGCGGAGGAGGATGTCACGGCCCGGGGTCCCGGGGGCGAAATCTCGCACGAAACGAAACAAAATTTTCAGAAACCCAACGGAAAGTTTTTTTTGATTCCCCAACGTAAAGAAGCGGCATGGTTGAATTGAAACCATGGTTTCAAAGTGGTGCGAACCGGATTTCGTCCAGCCGCAGTATGGGGGAATCTCCCCCGTTTGTGGGGGGGGGTTGGTCTTTGGGAGGCTTGTTTTTATTGGCCAAGAATCATGGCTGAAAGGAGGGACTTGGAGAACTACTTTCCTTTGGGCCGTGAAAGGGACTCTCCCCGTCTTTGGGAAGCCCCTTCTTCAAGTTGTCTCCAAAGCCCCTTTTGTCAGCTTGAGTCTTGGACAAGGTGATCACCTTTTGGGGGCCATGGCGAAGGGTGGGCAAAAACGGGACATCAAAAAGTAAAATCCAGTCAGTTCACTTCGGTTTGGTTGCCTGAAAGGTAAAAAATCGGACGGCGGTGGACAGCTAGCTTCTCCATAGCTTCTCCATAGCTTCTCCAATAGCTTTCCTTTTGTCAGCCTCCATGATTCTTGGACAGGGCCGTCCTTTTGGATGCAGCTCCCGATCTTCTCTGGTTCGAGGGGGTAGAAGAGACGTTGACGGAACAAACACGGGCGCAAACTGGCCTTCTGTTAGAGTCCTAAAGAAAATAATCAACAACAACGACAGACTCATATTCCCAACCCAACCATCAATCCAGATGGAATCTACCAAGTTCGTAACCATTTCCGAGCCCCAATTCATGACCATTGCAATCGCTGGAGTCGATACTTGCGTATTTTAAAGTTTTGAAGTGTCGAAGGATACGTTGCTGCTGTGCCTCTTGGCACCGTGGGAGGGTATTTGAACGACAATTCTTCTCTTGAAGGGACCAGGTCCCTGTCAGATGTCATGTTAGAGAAATGGGCGGTGCATCCTCCCACAGCTTTTGGTTTCCTCCGGATGGGGTCAGAGGGGAACTCCCGGCTCAGCTACGAGCCAAACCCATTTTCAAGTCTGCAGATGCATAGAACCCATTTGGGCTTCCCCAAGTCCTCTTAAAGTTCGACACCTTTTTTTGGTTTCGCGCGAGGGAAAAAGGTGAAAGTTTGAGGCGAATCTGATGTCCTCGCTGCTGGAGAGTCTCGAAGGACCCCGACTCGCGTGGGATCGATCCGTTGCTCTGGTGGATCCACTGATTTTTGAAGGACCCGCCTTCAATCAGGCACTTTGAGTAGTTGGCTTAGACCTCCCTTTGGAAGAGCTCCTGTTGGCTGCAACGTACATGGGTGGTGCTCAGTTTGAGGGTTCATTTGGGAGAGAAGCCCATATTTGGTGCGGGAATATGAATGCCTTGCACTATCGCCACCAAAAGAAACCGATGGGGCCCACCCAAAATCAATACCCATCGCTCTGCAGACCAAGGGCCCCAAAACCGATGCCGCCCTGGTCATTGTTTCATTGTCGATGACCGAATATCAGCCCTTCGCGTTGCGCATCAACACAGGCACGATGAGAGTACGCCCTTGCCGTGTTTCTGACCTTTCATTTGAGCAAAGAGCCGGAGCGGCAAAATCTACGACATTAACAAGTAATTTGGCTTGGGCAATGTTGACTTGAGATTCATCTGGAGGACCAAAGTGGATCATTTCCTTAACCGTTCTCCGGATTCATCCAAAGTTGATATGACAGTTTTGTCATAAAGTAGTGATGGCCCATCTTGGACAGAAGAAGGTTGTTTCCCAGAAGCAGAGCACCTAAGCGCCAACTAGTCTCTGCTTGTGTCCTTTCGGGCAGTGCTTGGTCCAGAAAGCAAAGGTGCCTATCAAGTGGCTCACACCCGATCTCCGAACATCAACCGTTTTTCACTGCAGCTGCTTTGTACTTGGTTTAGTGGTTGGCTTTCCATTTAACCCACAAGCGACCAAACTTTTCGCAGGGGATCTGAAAACGGACAGCCGAGTGCCGATTGGGACGCACAACAAACGAGTCCCCCGGAAAAAAAAGGCGGCCAGCATCGATTCGTGTGCCGTTTTCTCCTTTTTGCTCACTCGATGACAGGCGAGCCACTGACCGAGCCGGTGATAACCAATGTGAAATCTTCTGTGGGGCAAGATCTAACCGCGGCTCGGCGCAAAAAAACAACTCGCATCGGGCACGAATCGGCGCAAAGGGACGAGTGCGCCTTCGGGGGTAGCACCACATTGGAGTCCCCAAGGGAGTTTTCGGGATAAATTCAGGTCTGGCCATTTTTGTGGGCGATTTGGGGTCGCGGCATTGATGTTGGCGCCTTTCCTTTGTGCGGTTTGGCTCGGTGCGAGTCTGAAGACGCAGTCAGCTTGGGTCGTTTGGTTTCTCTTCTGTGTTATTTGGGGGTTGATCAAAAGGTCCTTTTCATGGGACAACGTTTGGGAAAACCCACCAAGACAATATTTCCAACCAAACGGGAAAAGTTACCCATGGTCATTTGGGGGCCGGGAATATTGATCAACCCCCAATCCGAAAGGAACGGAGCGCAACTGCTGGAAGCGCGGATTGAGGCACCCACTCACAGAGAACCCCTGCCAAAACAAAGAGGGTATGCAGCTGTTGTTTGGTTGCCCAAAGGGGATATTCCTGGCTGATGGGTATTGTTCGGTGTTCCATTTGGCCTGAACAAATTGGGGGAACCTAAACAAATGGTTTTCTTCTCGGTGTTCCGAAAACAAGCCTGCAATAGGGTACCGAGGCTCAAAAACACACAAACCCAGATGCTGGAGGATAATTTGTTTGCCCTCATGAGCTTGTGCTGGCACCCGGTGATCCAAGCCAAGGTGGCCATGCTAACCTTCGTGGCCGCAGCGAACCAAGGCAGGGGCAAGTCGCCTTTGGCTTTTCTCTAAGCCGGCGCCTTTGCGTCCAACGGGAGCGGAACGTGCTTTATTTTTGGCGTAGAACGTGCAGCTCGTTGTCTTCAGGGTGCCAGTTACCTTGGTGGCTCCCAGCGGCTTCTATTTGGCCCACTAAAAGTTAAACTTTTACCTCACCTGGGGTATTCCAAAATTAATGTCGGTCTATCTTTTTTTCATTTTTTTGGTTGAAACCGCTTGCGTGAGGTTTCTGTGAGGTTTCGGTGTCCCGCAGCTCGCATCTTGCACAAGGCAAGTTGACCTCCCGTCGCGCCACTCGCCGCCTTCGCTCGACTTCGCTCGCTCGCGCCATGGCCTTCCTTCGATTCGCCGCCTTTGTTGCCGTCGCCGCCGCGGAGAACAACCTGCGGGGGGACTCCCTGACCTGCACGGGCGGCCTGGCTCATTTTTTTATATCCCCCCCGTTGGGTTTTGCAAACCCCGGACCTTGACCCAGGGATCATGGATCTTCATTTTGTTCTCGCGCGAACTCCCAGACCTTGATGGGATCTGGATCTCAACTGAGTAATGTGCCGCTGGGGCAAAACAAACATCAACCTTGCTGTCCCAATCAACCCCTGGCAACGGTACCAGACGCATTGGCACAGAGAGGCCGCCCTGCGAAGAAGATGCCAGAGAGTCGAAACGGACTTGGCGAAATCGCCGGGCAAACCTTTGGAGCTCCTTGAGTGTTGCGACTTGAATTCCCTCTGTGTTCAAACCGAGTTTCTTTTGAGCAAACGGGGTTCCCTGAACTTTCCACTGACCAGGGCCGAAAAGACTGCTTTTGACGGCACATCGGCTTGATTCCCAATTCTCCTCACTGCGAATCGACCTCCCCAGGAATTTTTCGGTACCACGAGACCACTTTCTTTTCTCGCCAAGTCCATGGGGGGCCCTTCCCGTTCCGAGGAAGCGGCTCCTTGCCCATCGGCGCCAACAAGTGCTTCGGCGGCGACTTGCTGGTGGAAAAGTTCCTTCTCCATGTGGAGAGCTACGACGGCAAGGCGCGGATGGTGGACGGAGGAAGAGCTGGCGCCACGCGCCACGCGTGGCTTTCGTTGCGGTTGAAATCGCCGGTTCTACCTGCTTTGAGAAGGGTTATAGAACTTCACTGTTGGCAAGTTTTTAGGATATTTGTTTTTTTTGATTCTGTTCATCTTTAGTAGATGGCAAAAACAAAGCTTTTTGCAAGCCCATACCAAGGGTTGGAAAGAGAAGGGCCCTTTGAAAAGCTTCAGTCAGGTGTGGTGGTGAACCATGATATACCGGCTTTCGCAGTAGCCAAGAGTGACAAGTAGTTTCGCTAATTTACAGGGTAGATGGAGAGGAACCACGAGATTGGTCTACCTCTTTTAGTACGGAGCTTAGCCCGTGACAAGCATTCCTATTCATGAAATTTGACTTTGAGCAATGTGAATAGTTCTTGAAGTGGGCAATGTTTTAGATACAACAATGGCTTGTTATCTGACGCTTCACTGGGCGCATCAACTTGACTAGGTGGGCATCGTGAACATGAAGGCGGAGGGGCCGCAGGAGCCTTTTGAGTCAAGAACAAACAAACAAACAAACAAACACACACACACACAAACGCGAACACACACGCGAACACGCACACGCACAAACACACCAACACACACACACACAGACACACCCATTTCTCAATGCCATGTTCCAGGTATAAGGATATAGAGGTATACCACTTACATAAGGGAACATACTGCGTTACAAGCTTATATCAGTTGTAGAGCATCCATACCTCCAAAACCACACCTGAAGATGGGGGGATTTTTGTGGTCCTTTTGCGTTCCCTTCAAAACCAACCTCAAAAAGACAGTCTCAACAAACCACACTGCACACACACACACACACACACGCGCAAAAAACACAGAGACACAGATGCGGAGACACACACAGAGTCTGAGGGTTTTTGTATTACACTGGGATTACACCCTTGGGAAATGACCCAGAATGGTTCACAATAACACGGTTTATCCGGAAATGTGCCTCAATGGGGTCAATACCCAGGTGTATTCCCAGGGTGTAATACAAAACCCCCTTAGACCAATCGGGGCATCTCGCCCGTTTGTGGGGTGAGTCTTTTTGGGAGGCCTTTTTCTTGTTGCCAAGAATGGCTGAAAGGAGGGATTCTGGAGAGCTACTTTCCTTTGTCCCTTCTGTGAAAGGGAATCTCCCCGTCTTTGGGAAGCCCTTTTGCAAGTTGTCTCCAAAGCCCCTTTTGTCAGCTTGCCTGATTCTTGGAGGGAAGGTAAACTCAGTTGCCCCTCAAACACCCAGAAATCAAAAGGTGATCACCTTTTGGGGCCACGAAAAATGGTGGGCAACAACGGGACACCAAAAAGTCAATTCCAAATTCGCTTTGATTTGGTTGCCTAGGTAAAAAATCTTTGACCGACAGCTAGCTCCCTATCTTCGGTTCCGAGGAGGGCCAGTGCATCGGCGCGGAGTTCCAGGCGGAGGACAACCTCTTCACCGTGGAGGACGACAACGGCTGTGGCCTCAGCGCCTTGGGCTACGACTACAACGTGAGGTACTGCCCGGACCAAGACCAGGCACTTCGCATAGGGATGCCACAATTTTCCGGATATTTTGCCAGCCAGGGGAACAAGGTAGCCCTCCGATTTACCGTAATTTACCATGGTGTGGCAAGGTATCCCTCTGATTTACCGTAATTTACCATGGTGTTGCAAGGTAGCCCTCTGATTTGCCGTAATTTACCATGGTGTTTGCAAGGTAACCCTTTGATTTACCGTAATTTACCATGGCGTTGCAAGGTAATCCTCTAATTTAGGGAAACTTAACATGGTGTTTCAAGGTAACCCTCTGATTTGCCGTAATTTACCATGGTGTTTGCAAGGTAACCCTTTGATTTACCGTAATTTACCATGGCGTTGCAAGGTAATCCTCTAATTTAGGAAAACTTAACATGGTGTTTCAAGGTAACTCTCTGATTTGCCGTAATTTACCATGGTGTTTGCGGGGTAACCCTTTGATTTACCGTAATTTACCATGGCGTTGCAAGGTAATCCTCTAATTTAGGGAAACTTAACATGGTGTTTCAAGGTAACCCTCTGATTTGCCGTAATTTACCATGGTGTTTGCAAGGTAACCCTTTGATTTACCGTAATTTACCATGGCGTTGCAAGGTAATCCTCTAATTTAGGGAAACTTAACATGGTGTTTCAAGGTAACCCTCTGATTTGCCGTAATTTACCATGGTGTTTGCAAGGTAACCCTTTGATTTACCGTAATTTACCATGGCGTTGCAAGGTAATCCTCTAATTTAGGGAAACTTAACATGGTGTTTCAAGGTAACCCTCTGATTTGCCGTAATTTACCATGGTGTTTGCAAGGTAACCCTTTGATTTACCGTAATTTACCATGGCGTTGCAAGGTAATCCTCTAATTTAGGGAAACTTAACATGGTGTTTCAAGGTAACCCTCTGATTTGCCGTAATTTACCATGGTGTTTGCAAGGTAACCCTTTGATTTACCGTAATTTACCATGGCGTTGCAAGGTAATCCTCTAATTTAGGGAAACTTAACATGGTGTTTCAAGGTAACCCTCTGATTTGCCGTAATTTACCATGGTGTTTGCAAGGTAACCCTTTGATTTACCGTAATTTACCATGGCGTTGCAAGGTAATCCTCTAATTTAGGGAAACTTAACATGGTGTTTCAAGGTAACCCTCTGATTTGCCGTAATTTACCATGGCGTTGCAAGGTAATCCTCTAATTTAGGGAAACTTAACATGGTGTTTCAAGGTAACCCTCTGATTTGCCGTAATTTACCATGGTGTTTGCAAGGTAACCCTTTGATTTACCGTAATTTACCATGGCGTTGCAAGGGAATCCTCTTTTTTTAGGGAAACTTAACATGGTGTTTCAAGGTAACCCTCTGATTTGCCGTAATTTACCATGGTATTTGCAAGGCAACCCTTTGATTTGCCGTAATTTACCATGGTGTTTGCAAGGTAACCCTTTGATTTTCCGTAATTTACCATGGCGTTGCAAGGTAATCCTCTAATTTAGGGAAACTTAACATGGTGTTTCGAGGTAACCCTCTGATTTGCCGTAATTTACCATGGTGTTTGCAAGGTAACCCTTTGATTTACCAAAATTTACCATGGCGTTGCAAGGTAATCCTCTAATTTAGGGAAACTTAACATGATTTGCCGTAATTTACCATGGTGTTTGCAAGGTAACCCTTTGATTTACCGTAATTTACCATGGCGTTGCAAGGTAATCCTCTAATTTAGGGAAACTTAACATGGTGTTTCAAGGTAACCCTCTGATTTGCCGTAATTTACCATGGTGTTTGCAAGGTAACCCTTTGATTTACCGTAATTTACCATGGTGTTTGCAAGGTAATCCTCTAATTTAGGGAAACTTAACATGGTGTTTCAAGGTAACCCTCTGATTTGCCGTAATTTTCCATGGTGTTTGCAAGGTAACCCTTTGATTTACCGTAATTTACCATGGCGTTGCACGGTAATCCTCTAATTTAGGGAAACTTAACATGGTGTTTCAAGGTAACCCTCTGATTTGCCGTAATTTACCATGGTGTTTGCAAGGTAACCCTTTGATTTACCGTAATTTTCCATGGTGTTGCAAGGTAACCCTCCGATTTACCTCAGTGTACCCCGTACCCTAGACAGGGGGTTCAGACATTTACTTTCTTGGTGTTGCAACCAGCTTGCCTCATTAGCTGGCTAGGCAACTAGCCAACTTGAGTTCACACATTCATGCTTCTGAAAAGAAAGATGCACCGCCCATGTGGTTCCTTTTGGCTGGACGCTGGCGTTTCCCGGCTTCGACCCTTGCGCTCTTTGTCTCTGCTGTGGGGTACCCTGCCAAAAAGCCATAGAGCCTGAAGCGCCCCCGAAAGGAACCAGGAACTTCTGGGTTGGTCTTCTGGAACAAACCAAATCCCGTGGCTGCGGTGTCCTTTTACGTCCGTTGTTTTCTAAAATAGGCTTCTAACAACTGACCCCAAGATTGGCTTCTTTTGGTTTCCCTTCCAAAATCCGACAAAAAAAGGCGGTGGTGTCCCTTCCAAAAATTTAACAAAACAGGCGGTGGTTTCCCTCCAAAAATCCAACAAAAAAGGCGGTAGTGTCCCTTCCAAAAGTCCAACAAACACGGCGGTGGTTTCCCTTCCAAAAATCCAACAAAAAAGGCGGTGGTTTCCCTTCAAAAGCCAACACAAACGCTTCCAAAAATCCAACAAAAAAAGGCGGTGGTTTCCCTTCCAAAATCCAACAAACAAGGCGGTGGTGTCCCTTCCAAAAATCCAACAAAAACGGCGGTGGTTTCCCTTCCAAACATCCAACAAACCAACAAGAAAGGCGGTGGTTTCCCTTCAAAAATCCAACTAACACGGCGAAGGTTTCCCTTCCAAAAATCCAACAAAGAAGGCGGTGGTTTCCCTTGAATTTCCAACAAAAAAGGCGTTGGTGTCCCTTCCAAAATTCCAACAAAGAAGGCGGTGGTTTCCCTTCCAAAAATTAAAAACAACAATGGCGGTGGTGTCTCTTCCAAAAGTCCAACAAACACGGCGGTGGCTTCCCTTCCAAAAATCCAACAAACACGTGGTGTCCCTTCCAAAAATCCAACAAACACGGCGGTGTTCCCTTCCAAAAATCCAACAAAAAAGGCGGTGGTTTCCCTTCCAACCCCCCCCCCCTCAAAAAAAAAAAACGGCGGTGGTTTCCCTTCCAAAAACCAACAAACACGTGGTTTCCCTTCCAAAAATCCAACAAGAAAGGCGGTGGTTTCCCTTCCAAACATCCAACTAACACAGCGGTGGTTTCCCTTCCAAAAATCCAACAACAAGCGGTGGTTTCCCTTCCAAACTCCAACAAAAACGGCGGTGGAAAAAGGCGGTGGTTTCCCTTCAAAAATCCAACTAACACGGCGAAGGTTTCCCTTCCAAAAATCCAACAAAGAAGGCGGTGGTTTCCCTTGAATTCCAACAAAAAAGGCGTTGGTGTCCCTTCCAAAATTCCAACAAAGAAGGCGGTGGGTTCCCTTCCATTTTTTTTTTTTTTTTTAACAATGGCGGTGGTGTCTCTTCCAAAAGTCCAACAAACACGGCGGTGGCTTCCCTTCCAAAAATCCAACAAACACGTGGTGTCCCTTCCAAAAATCCAACAAACACGGCGGTGTTCCCTTCCAAAAATCCAACAAAAAAGGCGGTGGTTTCCCTTCCAACCCCCCCCCCCTCAAAAAAAAAAAACGGCGGTGGTTTCCCTTCCAAAAACCAACAAACACGTGGTGTCCCTTCCAAAAATCCAACAAGAAAGGCGGTGGTTTCCCTTCCAAACATCCAACTAACACAGCGGTGGTTTCCCTTCCAAAAATCCAACAACAAGCGGTGGTTTCCCTTCCAAACTCCAACAAAGACGGCGGTGGAAAAAGGCGGTGGTTTCCCTTCCAAACTCCAACAAAAACGGCGGTGGTTTCCCTTCCAAAAACCCATCCAAGGCGGTTCTTTCCCTTCCAAAAACCAACCAAAAAGGGCGGTGGTGTCCCTTCAATATCCCAACCACAAAAGGGCGGTTCCGCCTCCCAGAAACCTCCATTTTTTTAATAAGTAAATCTATTTTCCCTTGTTGGTCTGAAAAGGAATTCACCACTACTGGACATAATTTGTTTCCTGGGGCCTTCACCTGATGGAAGAAAAGGTGGGGGACGACGGCGTAGGTCATCGTGAACCTGGTGAAGCCCATCAACGTGCGCGTGGTCCTGGAGGCCCAGCCCTGCCCGGGCGCGGAGGTCTGAGGATCTCGGAGGACATTTTGCGACGGAGGGATCTGCGCAATCGAAACCCGGGGGTTGATGAAGGTTCAGGGACATCCCCTTGCCATACATAGCTGATATCCGCCTTCTGAAAATGCTTGAAGTTGGTTCTGGGTTCACCATTTTTGGTACCGATCGGTTTTGATTGTGACTCATCTGTGGTTGTCAGAGGCCTGCGACCCGAAAGCAACTTCTGATTTTTTGTTGGGGGAGGGGGGGCCATGGGAAACAACCACATAGACACATTTGGGGGGGGGGCAGGTGCGGCAGGGGGGGGAATGAGAACCAGCCAAATCTACTTGAGCCACAATCCAAAAACGAAAGAACCAGGCTTGTGAATCCCTGGCCCCTTGGTCTGTTTCCCCCCAAGAAAAGTCCAAGTGAGTCACAATGGTCGACCCAAACCCATGTAAGGAGACTGGAAGGTAAAGAATCAGCTCACCATTTCCAGATATCCTTGGAATGGAGGTTTACCACCAATCTACAGTTGAAAGTAGATGCCACAAATCCCCCATTCCCCCATGGTTTAATCATCCCTGGGAAAAACCCGCCATGCGAAGAGCGAATTCTTTAAACAACAGCACATCTTATGGCTCTCGTCGTGATTCCCTCTTGGAAGCGGGGCAAGTGCTTTGCGGAAGGGACTTTGACAGCCACAGGAGAATGCGACCTTCGACTTTTGCCGGAAATTCGTGCGACTTCAATTAAATGGCCGTGAAGATGTCAATGCAGTCTCGCAGCCAAAGATCATACTGAGACACTGAGGCGTGCAATTCATGATTGCACCGCCAATTCGTCTTGCATGCCGAAACGTACAGCGTGCTGGACCAATGCTTGGAAAAGAAAGAACTATTCGGCCGGCCTTCTTGATTGCGCTTGAGATTTAGTTCCCATTTCTGTGGCGCCCTTTGACATGTGTCGCTCCTTTCAATATGCGGAATTGGTGTTTGGCTTTGGGTGTTTCACCCAGTGTCATAGAAGCGGGCGCAATTCCCACTGGTTTGGGGGAACGCCGTTTTTGGTGCGGTGACACCGCCCGAAAGACCGCTCGAACCGTTAACGCATGAGTTGAGCCACGACCTATGAACGTTAGGGGCCATAAATGGGTGTCGCCGGCTTTTGGATCCCCCACACGCCCCCCGGGTCGGGGGGGGAGGGGGTCGGGGGTCTGGCTTGTAGAAGCCCACAGTTGACTCGGCACATTTTGGGGATGTTCCAATGCGACACCCGAGAGCGACCCGAGAGCGAGGCAAGCCGGCGGTGGACTTGACGGCCGCCACCAGCGACGGCACCTTCCAGCCCAAGGCCAGGGATCCGCTCGGCTTCTGAGGTCTTGGACTTTGGTCGCTCCGAGTTTGGACCATTTTGGTTTTGTTCTTGGGGATGGAATTTGTGGCATCTACTTTCAACCGAAGATTGGTGGTAAAGCTCCATTCCAAGGATATCTGGATTTGGTGAGCTGATTCTTTGGCCTTACCTTTTGTGGTCACATGTGGCCCCATTTTGGCCTTTCCCCGAACCTAGCTGCCCTCCTCCAACTAATGCGTTGTACAGCAAGGAACTCCAGTTATTTTTGGGGTTTGGACCATTTTAGTCGTAAACAAGTTCCTTCAGACTTCTTTTGGCCACGGAAGCGAGTTGCTGGCGGGAACGGAATTTCCTATTGTAGTTTGGGAGGTCTCAGATCGCCCGTTTCGGGCTTTCCAACCCCAGTTGGACGGGGTCAGCAACGGAATCGGGGCAAAAACTATGTGGGGGTTGGTCAAAAGGTCCATGGGGAAAACCACTGAAAAGACAGTATTTCCCAGATAAACGGGGAAACATCTTATCCCTTTCCACTGCGCACTGCGCCTTGGCACCGCTCGCGCCTCTTTTTTTTTTCAGGTGTCGGTGCCCTTGAAGGTCTTGGACCAGCTGAGCGGCGGAAGCTCTGCCCCCGTGCCCGGGCCGGCAAGAGTTCGCGCGCCTTCGCGCGCCTATGGGCGCCTTGTGGTGGGGAAAAAACCCACAAAATGTTGGTGGGTGCCCCAAAAATGGCCCAAACTTGGCTGTGGTCTGGGTGATAAACCAGTGCGTCGCAAAAACATGTACCCAAACCGGCACCTTGGCAAATGGGACCAAAGACTAAAACCGGAACCCTAGCTCTTCAGTTTTAAGCCACCATTTGGGGGAACCCGGACAATGGATTTCGGTTTTCCTGTTGGTTTCCCTTCCACCCAACCCACAAAAGCAAACCGAGCCTCAAGAAACGACGAGCCCCGCATCGACAGTTGGTTCTTGAGGGAGGTCACCCGGGTTCACATCACTCCTTGAGGCTCCTAGCCTTGTCGATTTTTGTTGGGTGCCCATAAGTTAAGGCCATTTTACATGATAAAGACGGACAACTGCGATCTATTGAGATCTTATGTATAAACATACATACATACATACATACATACATACATACATACATACATACATACATACATACATACATACATACATACATACATACATATACATACATACATACATACATACATACATACATACATACATACATACATACATACATACATACATACATACATACATACATACATACATACATACATACATACATACATACATACATACATACATACATACATACATACATACATACATACATACATACATACATACATACATACATACATACATACATACATACATACATACATACATACATACATACATACATACATACATACATACATACATACATACATACATACATACATACATACATACATACATACATACATACATACATACATACATACATACATACATACATACATACATACATACATACATACATACATACATACATACATACATACATACATACATACATACATACATACATACATACATACATACATATATACATATATATATATATATATACGCTTACAAAGCGTACCCAACTCTTCAGGTGGCCATCGCCATGAGCAAGATGACCGCGCAGTTCGCCAGCGACATCGAGGCGGGCCGCGGACCGCGGGTGGGTCGCGGGCTCGGAGCTGCGCTCCTCTGCGCTCCGAGCGGCGGTCCGCCGGCCGCGGCCGCGTTGGGTCTTTTGGGTGGGAAGGGTCGCTTTGGATTGGATGGCTTTAAAAGGGGAAATGGAAAAGGACCACACAAAGGGAGTCCCAAAAGAGTCCGTGAATGGAGCGATGATTCTCAGTCGCTTGTCGCTTGGGCCCTGGAGGGTTTGGCCCAAGGCCCTTTGGAGACGCAAGCCATTTTTTCGGAAATTCTGGCGCCTTCCTTAGCCGGAGAGAAGGGTCGGTGCGGAGAACGGAGCGAACGTCTTGCCAAAAAGTGGGGGTTGCACTTCCTTGGGTCTGCCAGCAAAGGGTCAGAAGGTTGAGGTATGCCCGCTGCCAACGGTCAACTGTTGGCCCAAACGAAGCCAATCATGTTCAACGAGGTTCTGTAGGGTAACATGTGTCGATTGTGCATCATCTGCGTACGTGCTTCGGCCCATCTTCCTGTACCCGACCCTTACATGAGGCACCTGAATCCCCCCCGGCGATTCAAATCTCTGCCAAAAGTGGTTCCAGCCCCCAATCACCTCAAACACCCGCGTGGGTCAAAGCCAATGGGATCCCATTTTGGTTGGTAGGTGCACCCCTTTTAGAAAGTATTTTAGTGCTTGGACTGAATCGGATGTGAAAACTGGGGATATTTCTGTCTTTTTGATTTTGACCCATGGCCACCCAAAAGCTTCAGCTTCACGGGCTCTGATAGCTCCAGCTTCAGGGGCTTTCATGGCACCTGAGGCTTGGAAGGGAAATTCCGCACTGCCGCCCAGATGCTACGTGCAGTGGAACGGAATTCCAGCGCCATCCGTCACGCTTTCTAGCGCCTTTAAAATACCGTCTAAATATGTTTAGCTTAGCTTGGTTGCATTTCCGGCTTGGCTCTTAACAGTGTATGGCCAGCGTATTTGAAGCTTGGTTGTATCAAGCTACAAGCATCCAACATCCTAGCAAATGTGTTGGCCATCATTCGGAGAGATTGCGCTGCACCACTTAAACCATGAACCGCTCCTGCTCGGGGCAATGCCCTCCCCAGGACATGACCACAATCCGTAACAATCAATTTCACTGGCATTTGCCATATAGTTTGACATATAGTTTGCCATATAGTTTGCCATCTATCCCCTGACTTTTGGGTTGCATATTCTGCATACAAGCGCCTGCCAAGCGCAAGTGAAGGCACTTGGTCTCTATGAATTCATCACACCAGCGCGAATACAAGGAATGCAGCGGGAGTTTCTCAGCAGTATCCGATGCCAGCAAAACTAGGAGAATGGGAGAGATCCACTAGGAGAATGGCAAAATCTGATAAACGCAAATGAAACAGCAATACTCCCCCTGACAAAAAAGTATTGGACATACCAAACATGTCCCTTCGGACTTTTATGTTTTGGTTTTCTTTGAGGGTGTTTTGGTTTCTGCAAATGGGAGTCCTTCCAGGCATTATTTTGGCTTTTGAAATGAAATGCCCTTCAAGATTGTTCAACAACATGCACACGAGGACTACTTTTATTCAGGTGCATCCAAATCACACTTGTGGAAAACTCCACAACACCCACCACTCAGAGCATCGGTTGCTGTTTCCCAAAGTTGCTCGAAAACTAACACCTGTGGAATTTGAATGCTTTCAACTAGGTAGATGTTTCTCCATTTCCCAAAGTGGCATGTGGGTTTCCTTTTGGTTCCCCAATACGAACCCAAGAATGGACTTGTCAAGCATCTAGGGCGTGGTTCCATTTTTTGAGGTTGGACCCCGAAAATTGTGGTTGCCCTGTTGGTCCTGCTTTAAAACCCACCAAAATCAGGGGGTACCGAGCCTCAAACAGAGGCAGACCCATGTTGAGAACCTCCCGAGCATGGTGTTTTCTCTGAAACGTTTTCCTTGAACCCCCCCCTCCAAAAACCTGTGTGTGTATATATATATACACACTTAAACGGTGTGCCGAACTCCTCCCCCCCCCAGGTCCGCTCGGAGGTCCTTTTTTTCCGTTTCTCGCTCTCGAAAAATCGGAGGCGGTGGGCCTGGCCAAAGCGCGGGAGGTCATGAGCTCCAACACCTCGGCGCGGGGTCGATCCGATCGACGCGAGTCATGCGATCGATTGGGGCCGAAAGCTCTTGGGCCGCTCTCCTAGGTCCCCCAGTAGTGCCCTTCTCTACCCCTTTTTTGGGGGAGGGTTCCCCTACTAAAATAGACTACACAAAAAAAGGTACCGTTATTCTAACCTCTCTACTGGAGGACCTAGTCTGCGTTTGGTGCTCAACCGTTCCCCCGACAAAGAGGGGAAGTTGAACCCTTCGTGTTTGTTCCCCCCCCCCCCCCAAAAAAAAAAAACACAAAAAATACATATGTACATAAGAAAAAAACATGGCCATGGAGGAAGCTCACGCCAAGAAGAGAGCCTCAGGTGGCAACGAGCGCTTAGCTTCGGTGCTACTGGGAAGATGCACGACTTCCCTATGCGTTTCCTTTAGAGCGTCCCAACAGAACGGTGGAGCCGGTCTTCCTTGAATTTCCTTTGGCACCATTCGGGACCAACTAAAAGAAAGAAGCGCCCAAGTATTCCATGCAGGCTAATTATGGTCGATCGCGAGGAGATCACCACCCCCAGCTGCTTGAAAACCTGAGGGGGGCGGTTCCCAAAGGCGCTCCATAGACGATGTCTCCTGTCGACAAAAGGGGCAACGTATGCTCAACCACGTATATGTCTGGGCCAAAGCGGCGCTGGAGATGATGTTACCAGCTAATGGGCTAGGGGTTTTCAGACTCGTGCCGAAATATCATCTCATGAACTTTTTGGGTTGCTTATGATTCTCCCCCATCCGGCAGCAGTCTGCCAGAAGTGGATCACATTCCACATTCTGGTGTTCGACCAAGGATCCCATTTGGCTTTCGGATACCTCTGGGAGGCTAGAGCTTGAAGCACTGGAATCCCTTATTTACTCGCAGGGTTTGTTTGGTAGAGTTTTTGCAGGTTTTGGTTCCCAAGGTCATCCCAAGAAAGGCGACTTGGCCGGTGCAAATACATGGCATTTGAGCCACGTTCAACACCTGGATAGATGAGTTAGCGGGATAGGTCTCAGCCAAAAGCAGGCGCACTTCTCCGCCTTCTAGGTTCATTTCGATGGGTATTGGGTTGATCGACGCCAGGTTCTGATTCTGACGCGTTTGAACACCCCTGCCCTGCGGACCCCTCGGAGCGCAGGCCGGGCCCTCGCTGCTTGGTCGGCCTCTGAGCATCACGGTCTACGACAGCAACGGGGTGCCCATGGACGGCGCGGGGAAACGTGCAGGGAGGTGTGTGGTTGATGTCGTGCAGTCCTGACAAGGGATCTCATGACCCAAGAAAGTATGGGCGTGTCTTTTTTCAGGGAGACCTTTTTGCTTTGGTTTTAAAGAGAAACCAAAGGACCACCGTTGCGCTTGTGTTTTTGTGTTTTTGTGTTTTTGTGTGTGTGTGTGTGGGTGCTAGAAAAACCGGCACGCCCAGATGTCAAAAAAACTACACGCAACGATTTCCCCAAGTTTTGCAAGTAAGAAGTTGAGGCCTTTGAAGTGCTTGGCAGCTCAGATTCGGAATGAAGGTTTCCATTGGAGCCCTCAGAGCCGAGCATCATG